TGTTTTCTGTTGTTGTTTTTTTTTTGATTAGTGGTACTGGGGGTGGAGGCTGGGGGTTGTTGAAGAGAGATTCCTGGGAAGTCAAGTGTCTGAGATTAGGGCATCTTCCCAGGTCCTGCCTCTGGGCTCTGGGGGGCATCACGCCTGGTGCTCCGGTCGTCCCTCCCGGGCTAATGAATGGCTTTCCGGCCTCCCTCCCACAGGAACCAGGCCGTGCGCATTCAGGAGGGGAGGTACCGTCACCCTGGCTGCTACACCTGCGCAGACTGCGGGCTGAACCTGAAGATGCGCGGGCACTTTTGGGTGGGGGATGAGCTGTACTGCGAGAAGCATGCCCGCCAGCGATATTCAGGGCCCCAAACCCTCAACTCCCAGGCCTGAGCGCCCGCTGTGCTCTCAGCCTGCCCATGACTCGCACCAGGGCCCTGCCAATAGCAAGTTGGCCTGGAAGGGCGGCGGTGGGTGAAGGGCCCCTTCCTCCTCACTGGGTGAGGCCGGAGGCTGGGGCCTGTCTTGGGCTGTGGGCGAGGACAGCCTCATCTTCCCAGGCTTTTGCTAGATACTCTCCCTTCCTCCTGCTGGACAGGCTCTGCACCAAGTCTGAGGTGGACACTGAGTCAGACACCTTTGAGCAACAGGGGTTAAGCAGGTTGGGCCACGGAGATTAGTATCTAGGAGAGGGGTCGGCCAGAAGCTAAAGGTATTCACGGAGTAAAGTTTCTGACATGTGAGCTCAATAAATATATACAGGTGGACAAAATAAAATAGCTTCCCCTCTTTCCTGTCCTGACTTCTCCCTACCGCTGGGTGGAGAGGCTTTATTTACATATTCTTCCCCTCTTACTTTCCCATCCCTCAACCTCTTGCCCTACCAGGCGATGAAGAAGCTTGTTTCTTCTGCCTGAGGGTCCTGCTCTTGGACCCTTCTGTAAAGATGCCTGTTTTACCAGGATGATCCCTGGTAGTTTACAGGAAGGAGTTTCTCATGGGGAGCCTGGGGAGGGGAGGGATGCTGGAAGGTGGGCCGCAGGCATAGGAGGCGTCCCAGACCCATTCTGCCCCGGCCCATCCCAGTGACCATCCCCTGCTCTGCCACCACTGGCTGGGCTGGCACTCTCTGTGCCCCTTGGTGTAGATGCTGCCAGTCCTGCTGACTTACCCAGAGGATGGGCGGAGAGGGGCAATATCCAAAGTACCCCCTCCATTCTCTGAGGCTTGTCTACAGCCATTGGAGAAATATAATCACCAGAATCACTTTGGGACAGGGCTGCAGGTTAGCCTTGCCTGGAGGGGGACAACCCAGCAGAGGCCCCACCCTGAGGGACCATCACCCACTGAGGGCCTCACCTCAAGCCAGGGTTGGTCTGTCTGCCCCTTTCCCTGGGACCCTGCTCGCTTTATTGGTGGTCGATTTCAGGGGAAAAAACCTATATATATATATATAATGCATGGCCAGTGCTATGTGTATATGTGTGTGTGTGTATAAAATGCATGGCCAGTGCTAGCATGCCTGTCCGGGGGTGTATATGTTTGAGTTGAGGCAGGGGGCAGTAATTCCTGCCAGATTTTGGGCTTGATTCACTGCCCCCCCTTCCTTCTAATCCCAGAGGACATTTCAAAAGGTGCATAGATGCTGCTGGGTGCTCCAGACTCACCCTGCCCCCAAGTCAGTGGAGGGATGGGCAGCAGCCTCAGCTTTATTTTCACTGAAAAGATCAAAGCTGGGCTTCAGAGGGTGCTTTGTGCTATCTGGCCCCTTTTGGAAGGAATCTTGGCAGAGACTGTGTTGCCTCCTCAGGCACCTGTTGATATAATTTGCACCTTGATATAATTGCCTCACCTTTTACCTGGATGGCTGCCTTTATTTTCACAGGAAAGATCAAGGCTTTCTGTGGCTCAGGAGTAGGTCTGGCCAGAACGTCTGGTCTGAAATGGGATACCCACCTTGGCGCCACCTAGTGTCAGGTGTAGCCTGTGGCAGGGGAGACTGCTCACTCACAAAAGGGGAATTCACCCTGCTGGAAATACTTGGGTTCCAGCAAAGTGGGAATATAGAAAGATCTAGCATTTTTCTTGCTCTTCTGAAGATAATAGTCAAGTGGCAGCAGCTGAGTGGCATGACTGAAATAATGCTATGTGACAAGTGCTTAAGAGCTAATGTGGAACACACAGGTGCCCCCTGTGAGTTCAGAGCAGTGGCCATCTGTGTGAAAGGCTGAACGGGTGGAGGCGAGAAATGCCGAGTGATGGGGGCAAGTGCAAGGGAAATGCTCAGTTTAGGGCAGTGTCTGAAGGGGATACTGAGATAAGATTGCAAAAGGAGGTGGGAGCCTTGAATGCCAGGAGAAATGACTTGAGCTTCACCTTGAGGCTCTTGGAACACTGAAAATTTTAAGCAGGGGAGTGACAAGTTGGAACAGGTGGGTTGGAATATTAACAGTGAGAACCTTGTCTATAACACACCATGCTGGGTATGCCTGTGAGTTGTTGAATGCCTTTCAAAGGCTGGATGGGCTCAAGCTAAAATCTACCTCTTTAGTTGTGGCAGCCAGCTCTCCTACCAGGGGCTCGAGGGTTTCCAGAGTTCTCGAGGGTTCCAGAGCTCTCTGCAGCCACAGAGCCAGCCTGAATTTGGGAGACAACTTCTTTGGGAGATAGAGTTACTAGCCAAACCCATTTGTCAGCAGAGAAGGCTGGGCTTCACCTCAACCCCACCCACTTTGACCCAGACATTGGGGTGGGGGAGACCAACTGCAATTTGTCCAGTGCAGTGCCCTCCTTATTTTTCTCTGCATTTGAGGGAGTACCTTCAGAAATGATGACAGATCTGAGTTAAAAGTCCCACCAGAGGGCATCTAATACAGCGCCCCCTTCAGTTGGAGGTGAGACAGTGACTTTCCTAAAGTTCCACAGCTAGGTAATGCTAAAGTGCTTTAGCTGTAATCCTCCCTGTTGGGTAGGTACTGCTGTGATCCCGTCTATAGATGAAGAAACTGAGGACAGGGAGGATGAGTACTGGTCTAAGGACTCCTAGCTGGTAAGGGGAGAGGGCCAGGGAAGGAACCTGGAGCCAGACTCCCCCATTTCTGGCTTGTCCAGGGGTGGGGGTGCTCTTGCCCCTCCATCACCAGGGGTAGCCTTCCAGGCCACAAGGGAGGTCACCATGGCTCCCAGCCACCTCGTCTGGCAGGAGCTACCCCCAGGCTCTTAGCTTTGCCTGTGGTCCCACAGGGCCTAGCTCAGTGCTGAGCTTGTAGGAAATGTGCTTCCTGACGCTGGGACTTCCCCAAGGAGGTGGAGGGGCAGTTACACACCCCTGGCCTCAGCCTGAGGGATGACTCTTGCTCTGGCCACCACACGTCTCAGGAACTCACGATAGCTGCTCACCCCTCAGGTGGCTGTGCTGCTCTTCCTATTTTAAGCATCACTCAAAGGGAGATGATTCTCCTCCTGCAGTCCTCAGGGTGGAGGAGAGACTGCAGAGGTGGTCATGTGGGGGCACGGGGCTGCCAGTCAGGGCAGCAGGAGGCAGATGGCAGGGAAGTGTGTACCTCCCCCATCCCTGCCAAGGTATCCTGATCAGCATGAGGGCCCTGCCATATCTGCATGGTGGGGAGGCAAGGTCTGGAGTGGAGTTGCATTGGGGGGGGAGGGTGTATGGGGCGGGAGGTTCTTTTGAGGCCACACAAAGCCTTGTGCTGAGACATTGCATTCCTGCTGGCTGGCTTCCTGTCCAGATGCATTCCTGCCCTAGAGTCACCGAGGAGACTGCCGCTTGGAATTTGGCCCCACATTCTCCAAATTCAGGGTGAGATCTGGCAAAGTTTCCCTCCCCATCCTCTCACTTTGGAGGGAGGAAGTTACCTGATTGACTAGCCAGTCCTCCTACCCTCCGACCCAGGGAGGCCCGTCCTGGGGTCTTGCAAGGCCTGGGGGGGTGGGGGGTTGGTACCACACATCCTGACAGTTCCTGCCAGGCCCCGTGGTCTCTGTTTCTCTATATCTGAGAAAGAGGAACGGGGAGGGGTTGTTGTCCAGAATAGGGCCAGGAGGAGGCAACCCAGAGGACACACGGCTAGTGGGGAATGGGCTTGCTTGGCCTGAAAATCAAGTGTTAAGAATGGCCTGTAATTCAAGCACCCGGACATCATTCTTCCTTCCCTGAGCTTGGCTGTAGGCCTGTTTCATCACCTTATAAAGTTAGAATCTTGTAGTTTGTGGTTTTCTGATGAAGGCTCCTGCATAGGGTGTTTGAGAAAGGCTGGGAAGGGACCAGGAGCAGGAGAGGGGGGCAGACACCGCCTCCCTCCCTTAGCAGCCACTTCCTCCCAGGCAACAGCTCCAGCCTCTGCCGCAGGGGCTCAGGTGCAGGTTTGCAGGTCCACCAGCTTCTTCATCTGCTTCCCGAGGATTCGGGTCCTGCTGGGATTTCTCCAGCCAGGTCACCTTCCTCACAAGGACGAGGTTTCCTTGGAGCTCCCCGGCTCCCCTGGTCACCAGGCCGGCGCACTTTCCGCAGCTGCCTGGGCTCCCAGCCCCTTTCAGGCCCCGGGGTGAGGGTGGTGGGTGGCAGAGCTGGAATCCCACGGGGCAAAGGGGGCTGGGGTGGGGACAGGGAAGCACCACATCCAGGCTGCTCCCCAGTCCCCAAGTCCCACCCAGCCCCGGCTTTAGGGTCCCCGGGGAGGGAGAGGTGTGGGACCAGGGCGGGGACCCAGAGCCAGGCCCGGGGCCCAGGGCACTGACTCCGCAGCTGTTGGAAAGGATTTCCCCCGGGCAGAAACCATTTCCCCCGTTTCAAAGCGCCAGTTTCTGAGGGGCGGTGCGACGGGCTCCAGACGCACAGCTGGGAGCGCGGGGCCTCCGCGCGGCCTTCCCACGGCCGGCGCAGCACGTGGGGCTCCGTTT